TTTTAATTGTTGTTTTGTTAAAACACACCAATTAAACAGTCTGTACACCTCTAGCTGGTTATATATCATAACTAAATTCTACTTTGTTTACAAATCATTTCAATTAAATTTTCTGAACTAAATTTGAGTACTTCTTTCAAAATTAAATTAAAAGTGAGAGAAAAATATTTCAACTCGTCACCCGCTCCGCCTGCTAAATTTCTTTAAAAAATTATTTCAACCCGTCTCATAACTACCACACATAAGGTTAAACCCGCCAGACATAGACTTAGACCTGCCCGGCCCCGCTCCATTGTCATTTCTAGGCCCAATGCTTTTGATTAAAAGAAAAAAAGACACTAAAATTAATAAAGTCGCATAACGTCTAAAAATTGGCCTTTAAATACGAAAATATGACATAACAATGGTGGGAATATTTGTAATGTTTCCCCAACATATTAGGGAGGTCGTCATGAAGTTGGCTCATAAATGTGAAAAAAATGTCTTAAAATGGTGGGACTATACGAGGTGCTCCTCTAACTCATTACAAATAGGAGGTTCTCATAAAGTTTTTTTTTTTTTTAAAAAAAATATTGATATCATGACTAATACACACGAAAAAATCAAGAAAGCCGCACAATTTTTAAAATTTGCTCGTAAATGTGAAAATATGTCTTAAAATGGTGAGACTATACGTAATGTTTTCCCAACTCATTACGAAAATTCTCATAAAAGGATTTTAGAAGAAATTTTCTAGTGCCCAAGGCGCTAGATCCATGGCTAATACACACAAAAAATCAAGGAAGTCTCATAATTTCTAAAAGCTGGCTTGTAAATACAAAAATATCTCTTAAAAAGGTGAAACTATATGTAATACTCCCCCAACTCATTAAGGAGGTACTAATAATTTTTTTTCAAAATAAAACTTTCGGGTGCTTCAAGGCGCAAGATCCATAGTCTAATACACGTGAAAGAGTTGGCTCATTGATTTGAAAATATACCTTAAAATGGTGGGACTATATGAAAATGTTCTTCCAACTTATTATGGAAGTCCTCTTAAAGTTATTTCAAAAAAAATATCGGATGTCAAAGGCCCTAGATTCATAGGTTAATCATATATTATTATAAGCATGAAGCTCAAAACTTAAAAGTTGAATTACCATTTTATCCCTCTAATAAATTAATTTTTTTTATAATTTTCATATATATAATCTTCTTATTCTCATTCCATAATCTTGACCTTTCAAATTTCTAACATAAATGTAAATAAAAATAAAAATTAGTAATTATTCCTTATAGAGAAGAAATTAAAGTAGATTCATGTATCTTTAAAATTAAATTTCATCTCTATCTTTTTTTATATTTATTTTAATAATAATTCATGTGACTTTTCATATTTCCATAATTTTGTTCTATAAATTTAACTTTTTGAAGAAAATTTTTTATTTACCACTCCTATAATTCTTGTGTGTAGGAACTCTAAACATGTGAAATAATATCACAATTTGAGGTGAAAGTTGTGAGATTCCCTTCTGTAGTCACGAGAATAGACAAGAATTCAAATTACTGAAGCATCGGAGCTTGGTGTGTTAGTTCTATACTTATTTGTAGTAAGAATTATAATAAGACTTTTTTGTCTCTATTCATATAGTTGAATTCTTGATTTATTAGCAAGTTGCTCTAAATTCATATTTGTATTTTGTATGCTCAAATATTCAGTTTTACTATAGAGACAAAAATAAAATGAAATGTCTAATTATCTTTCTCATTTGTACCTTTTCTTTTTTTCTTTTTGCTTCGTACTTATAATTTTACATATACATTAATTTTCATCTTTAAGAATGAATTTGATAAAATAGGATGTTTATTCTTTTCTTTTCTTTTTATGGAAAAAAAAGGTGAAACATATAATATTAGAATAATGTTGGATAAGTTATGTATGAAGAGAAAATTAAATTTTATATAAAAATAGTAGTTATTCATAAATATTCTGATTTTCAAAATATAAATAATAAGAGTTTTTACATCATACTTTTAAATATTTATAGTTAACTAATTAGTTTAAAGTGTTTGTGGATTAAAATTTAATACAATACTTTAAACACATTCATTATAATTATCAGGAGATTCAAAAGGCAAAATAAAAAAGTTGAAAGGATTTGTTTTCTTTTTACTCAAAGTTAATCTTACACTATTTCTTCTAACATTATTCTACCAATAAAACGGAACTATCGAGAAATTTAATTTAGATAGTTGTTATTTTTCCTTTTTGCTTTGAAAACTTATTTTTTGAATTATAAACGAAGTTTATTTTATTAATTTCTCATATTATTATCTTGATGCATTTATTTGGAGGTTAGAAAATTGGAGTGTCACAATTAGTAGTAAAATAAAGTAAGAAATCTGGAGTGTCACAATTAGTAGTAAAATAAAGTATGAAATCTCAATTAAACATATTTTATTATTTAGTAATATTATCTTTTAAGAAATAATACACTCATGGGTTGCACGCTCAGAAACTAGTACACACTAAAAACACCAAAGTTGCATGATTCCTAAAAGTTGACTCTTTAATAAAATGGTGAGACTATATTTGATAATCCCCAACTCATTATGAAGCTCCTCATAAAGTTTTCCGAAAAAAAAATTTTCTGCTGCCCCAAAGGCACAAGATGCATGACTAATACACAAGAAAAATACAAGTCAAATTTTCCCTTCTATTTGAATCAAGAGAAAACAAAATGATGTAAGTACAAAACTGTTTGGGCAGCAAACAAATCAACCCAAGTAAGAAAAATTAATCAACACACGAGATATCAAATTTAACGTGAAAACCCTCTTTGGTGTGAAGAGTAAGGCCAAAGCTTCACTAAAATCAACAAGAGTTACAAAAATGTTATCCAAAAATGGTCACTAACAAAGTGCCTAACAATAAATCAATATGGCAATTTGAAATTGATTGTTAGGGCTTGTGAGAAAAAATCAGCTCAATCGGATAAGAAATAAATCGAGAATCGCGATTTGAAATTGATTGTTAGGTCTTGTGAGAAAATTTGCACTCTCTCACTATTCTCTATGTGGCTGTTCTCAATCTCCTGTGATTCTTCTAAAATAATACCTAAAAGAAAGTCTTACATATGCAACATAATATTGGTTGGGGTTATGGACAAAAGTGGGCTAATCAAATTTGGGCTAAATTTATCCAAAAAAAAAAGAATGAGATACACAATCTTGGACTTTTTATTTATCCAAGTGTTACACTCTGAGCTAAGACAAGTGATGTATGTGTTAAGTGCATGTAATGATTTCGAACCTTGCAAGGAGTTTAAGTGAAAAGGTTTGAGGGGTCGACTCATTATTCCTTGAATTTCTATTTCTTTACTATAAAAATCTTGTTGAATTCATAAACACATGCTATTCTATTTTCAACTGAGATCATCTTCTCATGCAAAATATATTTTTGTTAGATGAGAACCGAGATTAAGATAGTTTGGACATGTGAATATGAGATGTATGGAATGTGGCTACACCACAAAGGAGTTGTAATATGTTGTCTATCGCCGGTTTTAGAAGAGGTAGAAGTAAGCCGAAGAAACAGCAGGGGAGGTAATTTGACAGAACATGATATATCTTTTATCTTACTGACAATAGGAGGGGGTTTTAACCGAACTAAGCAATTATATAAAGCCATTCACCAAAATAATATGTTTTTCTAAAATTTTACAGAACTAGTATAAACGTATTCCACAGTAACGTTTTAAGATATATTTTATTTTTTAAAAGTTGATGGCGTCAGATTGATATACGTTATTCACAGTAACGTTTTACTCCTAAAACGTCCTAAAACGTTACTGAAAATAACGTTTTAGGAGTAAAACGTTACTTACAGTAATGTATATTAACCTAATGCTGTTATTTTTTTAAAAAAAATATATACCCTAAAACGTTACCGTGAAATACGTTTATAGTATTTTTGTAAAATTTTAGAAAAAAATATTACTTTAGTAAATTGTTTTTATATAATGGCTTAGTTTGGTTAAAAATTCCAACAGGACCATAGATAAGAATACATAAAAGTCGAGAATTAGGATAGAAGAGCCGTAAAATATTTGAGTATTGACATACTTTTTATGTGGGATAGGCAAGGGGTCAATCCCTTCGTCTAATCTTCTCTTTATTCAATGTAGTATTGTTTCTTATTAGCTTAGTATTTTATTCTTCACTTATCACAACTACTTATTGCTTTCATTTGCTCTTTGTATCTTGTAATTTTGTAATCGTTGTTTCCCTTTTTATCGTTTTGTCGGAATTTTTTTTTGAGACGGGGATCTGCCGAAACCATTTTACCTACCCTGCAAAGGTAGGGGTAGGGTTTGCGTACATCCTTTCCTCCTAGACCTCACTTGTAGAATTACACCAGATATGTTATTATATTATTGTTGTTGGGACGACCCTTTATAACTTCCAATTTTCATTCGGTGTCCATTGCTTTAACTAATTATCTTTTAAATAACTTATTACCAACACGGGATGGTTGGGATCTCTTCACCCTTAAATCGAGATCACGGGTTTGAATCTTGGATATAGAAAAATTCAATGGGGAGTGTTGGCCCCAAAATGGGCCTTACTATGTAAAGATACGGATATAGTGGACCTTCAATACGGATACCGAACACCAGATGTAAAATCAAAAGGAATATCTTTTAAATAACTTAATTATATAAATATTTTTCACACGATCGATCGATCTATGTAACTTAAACTCTTTCTACATTTGTATTTTCCCACCTAAAAGAGTTACTGCCACATTCATTTGATGAAAGTGCTGAGCTATTCTTATCCTCATTTTGATCCTCATCGAATCATCCTTGTACGTTGCGGTTTAACCATTTGATATTCGAAATTTGTTGGTTCGATTACTTCGACCTAACTTCACTTAGTCTAAAAATAAAGCTAGCGATATCGCGATGGTTTTCTTGTTTTTCTTCTTAGCTGTGTGTCTAAATGACACCCCAATGAAGTTATTTGGTGATACAGGATATGAAAGATCCAATTTCTTTGCGTGCATCTCCTCCGCGGCTAACAGAATTCCTGATCTTATTGCTCAACTCTACTGCCCTTTGCCTCATTTCGATCCCTTCTGTCGTTCCCATCAACTTGTTAACAGCTTTCTCAATGGTTGATGCTGTCACCAATTCCTCTCGACGTGCCCAACTCCTAACCGATGTTGCAATCTTCAGCAAGTTGGTTACAAAAACAGCGTTAAATGGTTGATCGTAATTGATTGGCCAAGCTGCTAAAGGCACTCCCATGCTAATGCTCTCGAGACAAGAATTCCATCCACAGTGACTCAAAAATCCACTACTCGATGTATGTCCCAAGATTTCCAATTGTGGTGCCCAATTTTTCACCACTAGTCCTCTTCCGTCCACTCGATCTTCAAACCCTTTTGGCAATTCAATCTTCTCATCATTCTCTTCAAAATTTTCAGTTTCCATCTTTTTATCTGCTTGTCTTAGTACCCAAATGAAGTTACGATTGCTCTGTTCTAAACCAAACGCGAGCTCATTGACTTGCTCTTGTGTTAAAGTAGTAGTCGTTCCAAACGAGACGTATATTACTGAGTTAACGTCTTGCTTGTCTAGAAATTCTATACACTCATTCTTCGTCATGTTGCTAGAGTCGCGTGATTCTAGCAACATATGAACTGGACCAACAGCCCAATACTGCCTGTCTGTTGTATGTGCAAGTAAATCCACGTACTTACTTTCGACTTCTCTGCACGAGTTGATGATATTTCCCGAGTTGAGCTTCCATTCATGTTCTTTTCTAACTCGCGGCTGCATAAGGTCCACAACATCTATCCAACAACGGAAATTCATCGTGCATTTGTTTGATCATTTTTTCATGATCATCATCATCATCATCAACAACTAAGTGATCAATACTTTGTCGGAGCCCAGAGTATATTGCAAAAGTTGAAATGGCGTGGAACTTATAAGACTCCACGTTCGGGATCAATGAATGAACATCCCTTATATGATCCATCATTATGGAATCATGAATTATAACCAATCTCTTCGCGTTGGTAGAGATATCAATACACGTTCTTCTAATAGGCTCGACGAGCTTTTTCATAAATATAACAATCGAAGGCAAACCATTACCCGCGTCAAGAGAAGAAGGTACCAAAAGGTCATGAAAATGGATGTTTGAGGCAGATAGCCCACCTTGGACGCGATGTTTCAAATCTTGGTTACGATCAGCAAGGCAGATGAAGTGTACTGGTATATTATGAGAAGTGATGAAACGAGCAACAACGTAGAGCTGATTGAGATGGCTAAAATCAGGAAATGGCACCATGGCTACAATCACTTCATCAAGGTGAACAACATTGTTTGATGAGTTTGTAGACATTGGAAGAAAATAAGAGAAGAACTGAGAAATGAATAAAGACGGTGTCAGTAATAAAGACTTTTGAATCTCGTGGTACTAAATATGTCGTATGTGATGTCTGATTTGTAGAAGGAAAGTAAGTCATTTGATATAGTCTTTAAAACTTTCCATAGAGTTGGCTACACAATTCAATTACCTATAAAGTAGTGGGCACACAATTCTATGACCTATAAAGGAGATAAAAAAGGTGTTTATATTCAAGTCTACCCAAACCTATTGGCAAAAAATAATACATAGTTAAGCTATGTTGCTTGGATTCTGCAAAAATGATACGTTTTGAAGGATCCGACACATAAACTTGGAGGAATTTTTGAAGGATCCAAACGACAACTATTATGAGTATAGAATCAAGGAATTCATCATGGCATAAAAAATAGGAGACTAAATAACCATTAATATCAAAAACATACTTCTGTATAGTCATTGTTGATTAAAAGTTTCAATTATACAAAACTTGAAACTTGATAACAAGATAAAAGATCTTTTCTTGGTTGATATGGTCAATTGTTGCAGATTCTTGAAATACAAACTTTCACAAGCCACTAATAATGATCAATTTAATAATTGAATCATGCAACGCAACCATTTTTCGTAAGAAGGACAAAAGTACTACTAAACTCAGGGGCGGAGCTAGGAGGGAGCAAGGGGGTATATTCGAATCCCGTTCAGCTGAAAGTAATGTGGTGTATACAAGAACAAAATTATCTTTTATGTATATACAGTATATGTTGAATCCCTTTGCTTCTTCGTGTAATTACTACTTTATTAGTTGAAAATCTTGGCTCGGACACTGATTGTCTCAACTCAAAAGCCATTATAAGCAAAACTTTGATAGCTGGATCACATCCAAAAGCAAGCCATCACCTGTCCACCAAATCAATGCACTGTTAGATTTTATATACTTATTGCCTATGTTGCTCGGACTCATCAAAAATGTCGACTTGTGCATGTAGGATCCTCCAAAAGTAGTGTCTTTCGAGGATATTGAATAGGAGTGCATGTCAGATCCTCCAAAAGTAGTGCATTTCTGGAGGATACTGACAAAGGTGACGCAACATTTTGGATAGTCCGAGCAACATAGATTCTCACGAGCACAATTTTTTTGTAGAAACACACACACAAACACAGATACACAGTAGTTAAAGAGAGTACTTCTGTTAGAGAATCTACAGATGGCTCATCTCTTGGAGAGGACTTGATATTTTTCCACGTTCTAATGTCGGATTGCATCAAATTTAGTTGCTCCTTGATCTCATATAACAACGTTAGCTGTTCGTGTCTGTTGGATTCTTGCCTCATACGTTGTCTATCAACTTCAGTTATCTCAAGCGTCGTCCTATTGACAGGACGAATCTCTGCTGTTTCTGAAACACTAGTGGTAGGAGAAGTAGCTTCACCTACTCTATGTAACTTGTCCTCATTCTGCATAGGTAGTAAATTAAGTTGCTCCTTAATGTCATGTAACAACATTATCTCTTTGTGTCTCTCTGTCTCTTGCCTCGTACCATGTCTCTCGACTTTCCTCGTACCATCTCTCTCGACTTCAGCTATCTCAAACTTCTTATTGACACGATGAATCTCTGCTGTTTCTGAAGCATTAGTCATTGGACAATTATTCAAATGCCTTATAGGTACTATATTTAGTTGCTCCTTCCTGTCATGTAGCAACATTAACTCTTTGTTTCTCTCGGGTTCTTGCCTCGTATCATGTCTCTCGACTTCAGCTATCTCAAACTTCTTATTGACATGACGAATCTCTGCTGTTTCCGAAGCATGAGTCATTGGACAATTTTTCAAATGCTTTATAGGTACTAAATTTAGTTGCTCCTTCCTGTCATGTAACAACATTAGCTCTTTGTGTCTGTTGGGTTCTTGCCTCGTACCTTGTCTCTCAACTTCAGTTTTCTTAAACGTGCTCCTATTGACACGACGAATCTCTTCTGTTTCTGAATCACTAGTCATTGGACAAACTTTCAAATGCTTTAAAGGTTCTAAATTTAGTTTCTCCTTAATGTCATGTAACATCATTAGCTCTTCGTGTTTATCGGGTTCTTGCCTCGTACCTTGTCTCTCGACTTCATCTATCTCAAACACCGTCCTATTGAAATGACGAATCTCTGCTGTTTCGGAAGCACTAGTTGTAGGACAAATATCCAAATGCTGCATAGGTATTAAATATTTCTTATGCCAATCAGTTTCATCTTTAACAAGCCTTTCAGCCTCCTTTCGGACAACAAAATCTTCATCTTTAATGGCTCGAGGGACTTCAAAGACATCAAGAACATTCGGAGGAGAAACAGATCGACTAGCAGCAGCTTCGTTATCTGATTTATTCACTCGATGCTGAACGATGTACGTTTCTTTAAATTGCTCCAAGAAATTGTTACAAGAGCTTCTTTTAGAAATTGGTAAACTAGACAATTTCGCGTAGTTATTAGCACCAGCAATCTGTTTCACTCTTTGTTCCAACTTTTCCATCTGCTCACAGTACACACTTATACTCCCAACCATTGGAACATCATTCATATCGCGTTTTGGACTGATATTTTCGTCTTTAAGATCATCCTTTTTCATGTTATCATCTTTCAATGGGATATTCGGAGTAGATTTACACCTCCCAATAGACTGAACAATCAATTTCCCTTCTAAATCCTCGAAATATTCGAGCTCACTATCATCAATATCGTCATCATAGCCCATACTCACGAGCTTATATCGATAATCTTGTGCCTGATGATCCAATTCATCTATCTTTATCTGTTTTTGATCAATAAGTTCTTGTAAAACACATAATGATTCTTCAGCATGACTCATTTTTTCTTCTACAAATCTCTTATACTGTTCTGCTTCCATTTCCTCTGCAGCCTTTTCACCTTGTAAACGTAAAATCATCGATAACGCCTCTGTTGCTGCAGTAGATGAGGCTTCACTTTCTTCATCCAACTCATTGTACAACTTCTCTATAAGTTGTTCTTGAAAACAAAGCATTTCTTGTAACGATTCTACGTCGAATCGAGACACTGCCTTGCCAATATCAGCCATCAAACGTAACAAAAAAAAAACAATCTTGTTTATATCTCTAATAGGTGATACAAAAATGTGTAATCAGATGAACATTCTTCGTCAAAAATTATACTATATGTATACAGGTCAAAATAACACCGTTAACAAAATTTCTGATTTCGCTAATACTACTATGTGAATCACCTAACAAAATGTATATAATTGCACTTAAATCATCCTATTGCACATTCAACAAGAAATTATCTAATAATTTACTAGACAAAAAAAAATCCAAATTTATTATTTTCAGGTATGAAGAAATTAAACCTCAAATATTTAAATTTATTTTCTAAGAAATCACAAAATTAACAAGAAAAAAAAGTTATTTAAGATAAAAAGAATTTGTGATTGTTGAATAAAGGATCAATGAAAATAGAAAAATCTCCACTAGAGGAAGATAATCAAATAGGCAAAGATAATATAAATTGATTTTCTTTCCTCTAGGGAGATTTTTCAGATCAAAAAAAAAATTGATTTTTTTTTATACTTTTTTCATGACAGTATTGTTTTTGATGTAATTTGTGTTTTACAAAATGAAAAGTAAAACAAATCCTCCATCATGAATCCGCATTTAGTGTTTACATCAAATTAAGTGATTTAAATATTAAATGCGAATAAGTTTTTTTTTTTCCTTTGTCTCTTCCAAATCCATAATTAATAGATTTGGGCAAATATATCATTACCTTGACTACTATGTTGTTGGATCTTTAAAACAAAATTAACGTGTGTGTCAGATACTCTAAAAGTAATACATGTTGGAGAATCTGACACGTATATATACGATAAGAATTTTGATGAGTCCAAGCAATATGGAAGAAAAATACTTATTTTGTTTTCCAAAAAGAAAAGAAAATTGTATTAATATGGAAGAATACATAAAGAAGACTATGTCTCCAAATTTAGAAAATTGTCATTCTTTTCGGAACAAACTAAAAATGAAACATTGCCACATAAACCGAAACAAATAGAGTACCTTTTGCTCTTAGTTTTCATGTGTTGTCTGACATCTATTTTGGAGTTTGATTAATACAGATTCACATGCCAGGACAATCTCACGATTTTGAGTAAAATGCTCTTTAATAGCCAAAGACGACTCCATTTTCAAAACTCGAACAAAGAGAGTATCCTTGCTTAAACACAATCTCACTTGGATGGATGATATAATGTACACTAATTTAGAAATTAGCATACAAACTTAATAAATTATTTTAGGTTACAAGTTCAAATCTCAATTATAATATTCATGCGTTTTTTAATTATTTTGTTAAAATTTATGACTTCGCCAATGAATTTAAATTAGTTTATGAAATATACATGGTAAGGCTAAAATTGGATTTAATTGTCTCAATCAAATGGTTTAAATAATTATTTTCCTTTCTTGATTTATCAAAATAGATAAATAATTAGGGACAACTATAAAAAGAAAAATAGACAAGTAATTAGGGACGGAGGTAATATTAATTAACTCGAATTTATAACTCGTTCTAGTTACAAGATTCACAATTAAATCCACTATTAGAAATAAAGTTTTATCTCACCCCAACTCAATGAGAAATTTGTGTAGACTAGGAAAAAATAGATGAAATACTGATATAATTATTAAACATTTTTTCTTTTCTAACTGATTCAATTAAATATCCGTGGAAATAGCCATCGAAGAATTTTCAAAGGGAAAATAGTGACATTTTAGTAATGAATATTAGTCGAATATAGTCTTTCTACCCTACCAAAGACAAAAATAAAATCTACTTACATCTAACTTAGAGATATGGTGTTATTGTTTCTATCGAAAACTTCCAAATTTGCACTTAATATCATTCATGTAGATTTGAATATCCTTGGAAAATTATTGGGGGGATAAGAGTTATTGTTGAGTTTGATTTGTGAAAACAGTCTGTTGTAAAAATAGAAGGTAAGGTTGCATATAAGAAATTTATATGATCCAATCGTTTATCTTTAGTGCACCAAATTACTCTTTTTTCTCGATGTAAATTGGATGGTTGGAACTTATTTGACAAAACTTTAATGAATAATGTGAGTTTCTTGTAAAGTAGAGTCGTCTTCACGAGGCTCAATGATCCTCGTAATGATGCAAAAAAATATAACTAATCAAATAATGAGTATTGCATCTTCCCGGTAAAATAGAGTCGTCTTGTAATGTGAGAAAGTATTTAACTCTTGTATTGGATCCTAAACTTGGATTCAAATTTTAACTTTGACCTCCAACTTTCATAATGCACAAACAGACACTTTAACTATCCAACTTTTAAATAAATAAACACGTGAGTCCTACATCACACAATACACGTAGGACACCACGTAGGACAAAAAATGATATATGGGACATGTATGCCTATTTGTTCAACTTTATACAAATTTAAGTATCTACTTGTGCATATCCAAAGTTGAAGGGCATAAATGTAATTTGAAATCAAGTTAAAGGGCACATTTATGTATTACGCCTATAAATAACAACAATGTAGGAAAGATTAACTCATTGATGTTGTGCAAAAACTTCATTTATTGTATAGAAATAAAATTAACTCATACAAGCATTTGTAAGAGTGAGGATTTCGTCAAACAACTTGAAGTCGGCTATATGAGTCCTCACAGTCCATGTCCGTCCGATTTCATCGGACAAAGAAAAAATGAATAAATAGAACAGGACCACTCTCAAACTTGTGTCATTTGAAATAACAAAATATGTATAGTTTGTCTCAAAGAATGGAGCCATTTGAAGATAATTTAAGCGTGCAAAAAGCTGGCGTATTTGGCGCCTAAGAAAAGCCTCTGGATGCAAAGCAGGGCGTTTTTCGTGACCTCTGCAGTTCCGTGGTTCAATAGTTTCATTACCCGTTCCTTAGCTTTGAGGTCAGCCACTATGACTCGCCCGGCAGGATGGCACTGAATGAACTGTGACAAGTCATAGCAAGCTACAGCAAGTGTCCTTGAATCATTTGATGTATCCAAAATCGTCATGAGCACTCTCAAAATCTGCAGCACAACACAACGTCGATCAATCTATACACTCAATACAATAGTCGTTGGACTGATTTATGAGTTAATGGTCAAAAATACGCCTGAACTATCAGAAATTCCCTTTTCCTACCCGAACTATCACCATTTGTGTATAAAAACACACCTAGTTGGGATGTGAAACTCGGAAAAAAGTGATAGTTCGGGTGTGTTTTTGACCATTTACTTGTACACTCAATACAGCAGAAAGGGATGAAAATAATAAACCTTGAAAAATGGTGCTGAGACTACGACGAGAACCAATCACTTCTTTGAATAACTTTGATGAGTTAGATTAATATCGACATTATTGTACATTGGTGTTGAAATTAGTTTTATCATAGATGTTTGATAGTGTATAATTTACCCTAAATAGTATATTTTTATGGGAAAAAGGACAAATATCCCCGAACTATCAGAAATGATATGCAGATACCCTCCGTCATACTTTAGGGACATTGGTGCCCCTGCCGTCCAAAAACTAGAGCATATATACCCTTTATACTAACGGAAATACATGTGTCATAATCTTATCCACCGACCTAACATCGGATCGATGAATAAGATTGCGCCCTATTTAGTCTTCTGTTAGAGTGAAGGGCATCTACGCTCTAGTTTTTGGACGACGGGCACCAATGTCCCAAAAGTATGACGGAGGGTATCTGCATACCATTTACGATAGTTCGGGGGTATATTCATCCTTTTTCCCTATTTTTATTCACAGAAGGAATGCTTTTCATCCATATGGACCTCGTCATTTTTTGTGCTTTTCACTTTAAAAACATTGCACCACTCTACTGACTAATACGACTGATGTCTACGGCTAGTTATAAATGTGTAGAGTTCTTTATTTCATTTAGCATATATATTAAGTCAATGCCAGCAAGATTGTTGAGCAGTTACGCGACCTGACAGAGATTGTTGTTTTTCTCACATAAAGGCACAATAGTAATGGTAATTTATGGTGTTTAAGCTATACGAAAGAATGAGAAATGCCATAGGCAATACCTGAAATCCGTTCTCCTCGAAACAAGTTATATTTTCCTTCCAGAATAGAGGATCTTTATGCATGGGGGACCAATCAAGACTGCCAAGTAGGACTTCCTGCTTGTACTTATCGTACGAACTCATTTTTTTGATGTTGGCCTTCAATCCTCCTTCAAGTTGATTCAGAGCGTCCAAAAGGTCCTAAAACAGATTACACGGCAAATTAGGGTGATGTCGATAAATCTGTGAATCTAAAAATTCATTTCGGCCAACTGAACCTTCTCGAAATGTTTCTTTATAAGAACCAAAATGATTAAGTACTGTCTAAACAGTCTATTATTTAAACTTTGGCGGAACTTCTTTCAAGTTGCTTCTATTATACAGAAATAGAAAATAAAGTAAGATACTGTATCAAATTAAAAACCACAAAACCGTTCGATTCAATCACCTCATCACTCCAGGCCTGCGCTTTCAAGCTCTGTACAATTTGCAGCACATCCAGGTCTACCATTTGAGAACCAAATGACCCTCTGGCAAGCAAATTCCTAAGAGTCAAGATGACAACTCTGACTACCTGTGGTCATTGATACATAAAAATTGCCATGAACGATGATGAGCCGAAGATAATTCATAGATGAATAAATAGAAAATGCAACAGATTAAGTAATGTGCTGCCTAGAAAGCAAATGGCTGAAAAGAACTCAAGAGAAGTGAATAATGAACGCGAGTAGAAAAGATAATCTTATCGAGTTCTTTCTTGGCATGCACAGGAGAACCATTAGATTAAGTCTAAGACGGAGGAATAGCAAGTAGAAAAGATATTAGAAGAAATAGCAGCAAAAATAGCTCACCTTCTCCTTTGTCGAACCTTTAACAACTTCAATCAATCGAGGTAGGGCCCTAGAAGTAGCCAAGTACTCAATTGCAGGTTCATAGTAAGACAGAAGCCAAACGCATAGACATGTCTCGTAGAGAAGCTGCTTCAAAGAAGACAGTGAATCAGATACATCATTGTTAAAATTGCAGAGAAACCGTTTTACTTAAAAGAAGGTTGTAATTTGGCCTATGTGTAGCTTCTCGTCCTTCTATTTCTTCTATTATCTACTGCCGCTTAAACTTCAATTATCGCACTATTATGTTGCAGATACTGTTCCTTTTTTCCAGAATGCTTTGTCACGCTCTCTGTAGTATTTTGCCATGATTTATTCACTTCCATTATTTCTTTTTCGATCTGCTTTGGTATGCTTTCCTTGAGTCGAGAGTCGACCT